TTAGAGTAAAAGAAGATGTAGACCAGTTTAGAGCTAATGAAATAGGTCCATAGCTTTCAAGTGTCAGCTTTAGACCTAAGGGGGATATGACAAGATGAGAAATCAAGTCAAGTGTTTGAGAGTAAGATAGTAATGAGTTCCAAAGAGTTTGGGGGATATCTTTTTAGAGGTCCTTTTAGTAGTGGAGTGATGTTAGAAACAAGAGGTTGATGTTCTTATCGTGATAGTGATGGGGTGAAAATTTTAGGGTTGAAGTCTTTTTTAGATTGAAACACCAAAGTTAGAAGACTTGATCTCATCCGTTGGATAATTTGTGATGAACACTCAGGATTTAAAGTTGAGGAGATGTAATGAGACGAGTGATCAGTATTTGAGGATGAGGCTCTTAGGTCTGGATTCGAAATGGCTAAAATTGAAACAAGAATTAAATTAAACAGGGTAGAATTGAAATGAATAGGTGGCTATAATCGAAATAAATTGGAACTTAATAGGCTAGAATTGAAAGGAATTAGAATAGAACAGGCAGACATTTAAATGATTTGGAGGAAAATTAAGAAAATGTTATTCAATTAGTAATATACCACACATATATAAATTAAACACATCTAAGTTTTAAAACATTTAAATAAATAAGTAAAGTATTTATTTCGAGTTTAACTATCGATATATAAAAATAATAATAATTACAATAATTTTGGCAAATTATAAATAATAAATTATATACTTATTTAGACAGAATTGATTGAAAATTTAAACATGTAATATTTTTTTTAAATACGTACTTAATCGAATAGCTCTCCCAAAAGGGTTATAAGTCGATCAAAATTGGGTGTCAACAACTTTCCCTTGGTTGCTTGAGAATGAAGGATGAATTGTCGGGCAACCAACGTTGACTTAGTAGCTAATTTTGTTCGACCGACGAGAGATGTCAATGGGGATCAATTGAAATGGTATAGAGTTGGAAAAGGGTACGGCTGAGACTTTGGTATTAAGTTGCCTAAATATCTCTGGTATTACAAGAATCAGGTCGTGTGTAGTTCTAAATTTAGGAACAAACAAAGCTCCTAAAAATGGAATGACGGTACGATATTCGAATGGGAGCGATAGCGGCTTGAATAGATAGGATTAGAGTGGCAAGGATGGGATGAATAGAACGACTCCAATTTTAAGAGCAAGGATCATATGAAAAACGGTAATACAAGTACCTAAGGATTGAGAGGACCTTTGTTGCGATAGATATATAAGCATGACAAACGTGTCTGAGAGGGGATCTTGTTTGCAATCTGCAAACTTGTACCTTGTGATACGACCAAATAAATTTATTAGGGCAGGTATATCAAATACACGATAAATGTAAACATGATGCAATTTCCCATGTCGACCAAGATATTTTCCTTAAGACTATGAAGATGATGTCTTAGGCTATGATGTCTAGGGCCATGATACGCAAAATTAAATCCTCAGGTCATGAAAATGTTGTCCGTGGGCGAGGAAAAATGATACATTTAGACTATGACACCTTCAAATCATGATATATAGAAATTAAATTCTTAGGCCATGATATGATGTCTGCGGGCCATGAAAGATGATGCCTTTAGACCATGACGCCTTTGAAACATGATAAGCATAAAGTAAATCCTTAGGCCATGAAATGATGTTTGAAGGCCATGAGAGATGATGCGTTTAGACGATGACGCCTTCGGAATAAAAATAATGAGTAAAGAGAGCGTATCTGTTTTGATGTAATTTGAGCAACTTGTGGCTTGATTAGATAGTTACTCTGTAAAGATGTATTCTAGCACATGCAATTCTCGAGATCATGTGATATCTCGAGCTCATGCAAATCTCGGGCTCAATTCATTCTTCGGGCACATGCAATATCAGGCACATGTAATCTTCGAGCACAATGCAATCTAGGGCTCAATGCAATTCTCGGGCTCAATGAAATATCGGGAACATGCAATCTTCGGGCTAAATGCGAACTTCGGGGTCAATGTAATCTCGGGCTTCAATTTGATTTTCGAGCAAATATAATCTCAGGCTCAGTGCTGGGCTCAAGGCAATTTTTGGGCATATGCGACCTCGGGCTGAATGTAATTCTCGGGCTCATGCAATATCGGGCACGATGTAATTTCAGGCTCAATGTGATCTCGGGATCAATGCAATTCTCGGGCTCATGCAATATCGGCCACAATGCAATCTTGGGCTCAATGCAATCTCGGGCTCATGCAATATCGGGCACAATGCAATTTCGGGCTTAATGCAATCTCGGGCTCAATGTAAAGTAGCTTGGTCTTTTGCCTTATTGGAAAGATAGTGTGCCATTTAATGGCGATTATCGGGCTCGTTGTATGGTAGCTTGATTCTTCAATTGATGTGTACATGTCTTTTCTGCATTCAAAGAAAAATTGTGAGTTTATAAATGGGGGCGGTTGATCTAATTTGACTGGCGTACTCCATTTAACATGCCATCCAAATCTTTTCCGGGTATTTGGTTTGAAGAAAAATATAAGTAGAGGAGGAAAGAAAGTTTGAGAAGCTTTTGAAAACATAAAATTAGTTTGTGAAAAGTATTGTTGAATCTATGACCATGACACAGTTTGAGACTTTACAACATCTGATGGAGAAAGGTCCTTTCGAATCTGATATGCCTCATAAAACTTTTGAAATATATTCGAAAATTTTCTACCCCGGTATAGAACTTCTGCTATTTTGATCTTTATTGTAGATTCTAACTTGATTGTCGTGAATTTTTTAGATCCTCTCAAAAATTCTGCCCCAGTACTGATTTGCGAGAAAAATGTTATTTGATGGAATTTTTGAGTCCCCTAAAAATTTCTACCCAGTATCGTGACTTATAGGAACATGTCCTTATAATGGAATTTTTGAGACCCTCTCAAAAATTCTGCCCCAGTTATACAATCAAGGGAAATGATAATTTTATAAGGATAAGACCGAACTCCATAGGAGCGCCAACTGAAACGACCCCAAAAATGCCCGAAAATGTGCTTCGAAAACACATATAATTGTAATTTCCATATATCTCAAAATCCGTGCATGATTTCGGAAATTCGACTTCATATTTTTATTTAGGGGGTCAAATTGAGTGGGAAATGAGTCTAACCCGAATTTTAGAGCAACCGTATCACAATTCGAAAATCGCAAAAAATGCGATTTGGAGGGTCAACTTTAAAGGGGCATATCTCTTAGCACACAAGGAACTGGAAGGGCCG